AAAAAAAAAAAAAAAAAAAAAAAAAAAAAAAAAAAAAAAAAGGAGAGCAAGCCGAACAGTCCCGCAGCCTGTGATGTTTACCCAGTATCCACACCCCAGTTGGTGCAGAGCATAGGAAAAGAGATTTCTGGGAACCTTCCTAAGACACTTTCAGCCGCAGAGTCCTTTATCTTCTGTGTTCTCATAAACCCTCACATGCTGGTCACCGGATTTTTCCTGTTACTTATAAATTTTCCAGCCTCAACACAAGCCAGTACCCTCTACCTGGCAATGACTTCCACAGCACACAAACTTCTCATTTTAACCTAAGCTCCTCTGATGTGTGAATCCTGTTGTCCAACCAAGCGGTGGGAATTGAAGGTATTGAGATGTGTATGTGTGTGTGTGTGTGTGTGTGTGTGTGTGTGTGTGTGTGTGTGTGTGCCTGTGAACATGTGTGTGTGTGCACATGTGGGCTAGGGAAAGCAGTGTAGAAAACGAACTGGTGTTCCTGAGTGTAAACCTCTTCTGGAGAGACAAATGTCGTCTGTCACCACATGGAGATGGATGGTAGCTGATCCACTCTGCCAGCCTCCTGGTTCTAATGGGTGGCTGGTATGTTCAGATGAGAGATTCTTTCTTGGGGTATAATGTGGGTTGAGAAAACCTTTTCTCTGAAGACACACTTGGCTACTCTAGTTTCTTTCAGAATATACTATATGGAGAAAGTAGGATTACTTCCCTGCACTTAGTTTCGTTTCTGAGTTAGAGCATTTGTAATTAAAAAAGACTTTAAATTGATCTAATGAATTATTAAAAATTATGACTAGGAAAGCAATATTTTGATCTGTAGTAGACGGAACCATTTAACAAGAAGCAGGGCCTCTGGGAGGAAGGGAGAGCACTGAAAACAACCTCATTTTCTCAGGCCTGAAATTCCCTTGGCTCGTTTATTGGGAAAGCCTGTTAGGAATTGAGGGGAGATGAGGATTCCCTAGTAAGAGATGGAACGTGCCGTGGCTCTCGCATGCCCAAGACCAGCCTGAGCAATTACAAGCAGATATTTCTCACCCTCAGGGAACTCTTTTTTTCCATTTAATACTTTTAAAATAATAATTATTCAAGCACATGGGGCCATTTGTATACATATACAATGAACTTAGAGCAAATTTACCCCCATACCCCATTGCTCTTCCCCTGCCTACTCCTCCTCAGGGCAGTCTTCTGTAGTAGGTGCTGTTGTTGCCCATTTTATAGACTTAGAAACTGAGACACAATGAAGCACAAAAGCCAAGGCTCATCCTGGCAGCCTGGTTTGCTCTGCATCCCAAGCTGGTGTGCTCTGCCCTGAAGAGTCTAACAGCCGGGGAGGCAGGCAGGTAACAGAAAGGGAGGGTCTGAATCATTGTGTAAGTTGAATGTCTGCAGAATTCTGAGTGGCACCCAGAGCAGGAGAGGCCCAAACTGCTCAGTGAGCAGCTAAGGTGGCCTAGTGCCCAGTGCCCAGTAGACTGTTACATGGAGGTTGAGCATAATTGCATGAGGTATTGGTTCTGCCTCCTCAGTTCACCAAAACTGGTCTTAATTCTTTGATTTTCCTGCACTGGGGAAAACTATAGGAAATGTGTCTGCCTTAGACAAGATTGTTTAGTGTGTGTGAAACTACAGCTAGAAAATAACTCCTATCGGTATCCATCCAGAGAGCTTTCTTTCTGAGGCTGGGGCCCAGCACACAGCCTGTGTTAATAAAGCTCTTCCAAGGAGATGGGTTGCCTTCCCTGTTAGCATCCGTTAGCTCCCCAGCAAGCTATGCTGTTTTCACTGCAATGCTGAGGGCCAACGGTGATGTTCTCATTGCCCACAAAATACACAAGAATCCAGTGAGCAAACAGCCTTGCTTCAACCTACCCAGCACCGGCCACAGGTATGCTGACAGGCTCACGGCTTGGATGGGGGCTGTTGCTAGTGAGAGCAGATCTTTGCTGCCTCATTGTTTTCCTCTTGCTGCCTTCTCAAACTTTAGGGTCTGAGTCATATATGGTCAGGAAATGCAGGCATATTGTTGCTCAAACTGTGCCACTGAGCTATATGGCTGTTGGCTTTCATCTTCAGATCCATTCCTTGGATGCTTTGCTTGGGTATTCAGGGACTGTGACTATGGTGTTGTGGTGGACTCAGAGGGAGAGGTCATGCATGGTTTTCATCTAAAGCATGGATACTTGCCATTTTAACACTGCTATTTGAAAAAAACATTGTGTCCATATAGGCAACCCCTAAGTTTTATTTCTTTAAAACAGGGTTTCTCTGTAGCTTTGGAGCCTGTCCTGGAACTCTGTACACTAGGTTGGCTTCCAACTCAGAGATCCCCGAGTTTGCCTCCCTAGTGTTGGGATTAAAGACGTGCACTACCACTGCCCAGCCAGAGCAATTTTTAATTAGCTGTGCTGAAACTCTTCCCTTTATCCAGCAGGGTGAAGGGCTTCCCTTTCACCTTCCTTACATTTCCCCATCTTATTATCTGCCACATGCCCACTTGAGTGATGTAATAACACCTGGTTCATTCTCCAGTAGGGATGGGGGACAAGGGATTCTCTAGTGATGAGGGTTGAGGACAAGAAGATTGCTGAATTGATGGGGTTGTATATGTTTCTCATATTGGTTGATGAATGAAACACTGTGTGGCTAGTGGTCAGGCAGGGATACCAGAGGAGGAGAATTCTGGGAAGGGTAGTCAGACAGGCATTTCCATATGAGCCCCAGAAGAGAGGACACATCAGGTGTTCTCCTAGACCCCAAGTAGGGCCTTAAAACCCCGTTGTCTAAAACCTTCGAAGATAGTGCGACACCATTGATCATGAATGTAGGAGTCTGAGGTTTACAGGGGTAACAATGGTGTCAATTTCACTGCATTATTTAGATTAATTCAGGTGGGAAGCCCCACCCTGAATGTAGGTGACACCACACCACTCTCTGGGCTGGGGCTGCTGACTAGGTAGAAAGGAGAAAGTGAACTAAGTAAGATCATTGCTCTCTGCTTCCTGACTGCAGGTGGGATGGGACAAGCTGCCTCAAGCTCCCGATTCCAGGACATTCCCCCTGTGATTTCTGTACCCTTGAATTATGAACCCAAATAAGCGTTTTTCTCCATTCAGCTGCTTTTGTCAGGGTTTTTAGCAACAGGAAAAGTAACTAATGCAAGGGGATGTTTGACAGAGGTCACTTAGGAAGGGAATCCATTCAAATCTAGTTCTTGGTCATTGTATCTGGGCCTGGCTGTGGTGTGCATAGATGGAGAAGTGGTGGAAGAGTTACAGGTGCGTTATATTTTAATTCCACATAATTTATAGATCCAACAATATACCATTTTTCTGCTTTAATCAGTCATCTTCTAAAGAAATCAAAGCTGTTATATGTTTACCCATTGTTCATTTCCGACAGTCTTTATTTCTTCTTGTAGAACTGAGTTTCCAGTTAGCATTGCTTCCCTTCAGCTTCAAAAATTGATCATCAGATTCCAGACAGGGAAGCTGACAGGCTAACTGAAGATGTTCACTTCTCCTCCAGATCCTCTAAAAACCCAGTCTCATCCCTAGCTCTGTGGCAGGCCACCTGCTGCAATTCCTCCTTCCTCTCTGCCTGGGGGAAATCTCCAGTGGATCATACAAATCTTCCCCTCCAAACCCCTCATTGCTTTATTCCAGCCCCCAACCTCAGCAGCCACTCCCTGGGAACCTGGCCAGCAAAGCAGGCAGGCTGACACGTCTTCACTGCTCCCTCCATTATTCCAAGTCTCATCAACAGCTGTGTAGCAGACCACCTCTTCTCACTCTTTGCCCCAATTCCTAGGGCACTAAGTAGATCCTGGTGAAACAACCTGCTTTCTTTCCTCCTGTGTACCCCC